AAAAAATAAAAATGTGCAGTAGTGAAGGTCCTTCACTTCTTTTACTCTTCTGTTTGGCACGCCTTCGTCCTGTCAGGTATTCAGGAGAGTGTTGAAGTTCCCTGCAATACACTGTTCCTCCGTGTTGTAAACCACAGTCGTGATTTTAAAGCAGGCCCTATTTGTTTCCCAGACTGCCTTTATTTGTATGTACAGAAGAGACAGTTTGTGGTTCAGCCCCTGGGTGGCAGTGTGTCTGGATTGACCTCCGAGTCTATAAGTCCTCTGTAGCCGTTAGTTAGGTTTTGTTTTCCCTATTGCATTAATACTGGTTTGGGGGAGTCAACAGCCCAGAGCTGGTTCTTTGATCGTTACTCCGTGCTCTGTTTCCCAGGTTCCACAAAAACAACTTTCCTCTGCACTCTCTGTGAGTGACCCCAATTGGGCGATCCTATGTATTGGGTTTAATAATCAAACACAACGGTTTAAGGGGGAGAGAGAGGGAAAAAAAAAAGTGCCTGAGAAAGTGCGTGAATTCGCAACCCTCTACTATCTAGCTCTGTGCGCAGTCTCTTCCGCACGTCCTCTCTCCCCTGGCACTAAGCAGCCAGCACACTGGCAAAATCTGAGGCTGCCTTTTTGCATCCAGTCCAGCTATGGGCTTATTTTTAGAGTTCCCTTCTGTCAGCAGCCCTGTGGGGGCCCTTCCACACTCGCGAATCACGCTGGCCCCAACAGCCGCGGACTTTGTGGGGCACAAACTACCCCTGCGTGTGTTCCTTTCTCCATCCTGAATTGCAAATCGCACCTTTAGGCGAAATCTGACCTTTCTGTGAGGAGAAGCAGGGCTCCTCTGAGTCCATGTAGTCACGCCAGTTGAGATCCGGTGTTTCTGGGATAGTAGCTAATACCTGCATGCTGTGGTTGCAGGATTTCTGGATGTATACGCTTCCAATAACAGCCACTCAAGATGGCGCGGTCTCCGTGGCTGCACCGGCGTTCCAGGAGAGATTTCAGCAGCACTGGAGGCTGCCCGGTTAGGGGAGCCCGATCTGGCAGTCTCCAACAGTCCCCTTTCTCCGGGAGTCCTCTGCCTTTCCTGGCTGCAAACTGTCTCCCAGCTGAATCTGTTCTGCCTATTCAGGCTGGATGTTTCTTGTTTCAGCTGCTTACCCTATCTGCTCTGGGAGAAGGCACAGGACACATCCGTCTATACCGCCGCCATTTTCCCTTCTTCGCAATTTGATTTTTTTGATAGCAGTGTTTACAGAGATTAATGCTGCTTTATATCAATCATATAGTTGTTGATAGTATGAATCTTTATATATTATCAGCAATCTAGGGTAGCTTATCTGTTGCAGATATCTCCTTATTTGGTTGAAGTAAATACCTCTAATAATTCTTGGGCTTATTTAGGTCTGTTTAATAGTATTATTTTAGGCAAATTGCAAAAGGATCTTGTTTTGGTGATGATAATAGTATAATTACAGAATGTGTGTTGAGGCAAATGTGTAGTGAATTGATCTAGATCTTGGGTGCTTGAAGTACATCTCAGTGAAGATGTCCAGTAGAGAAGCACTATAAGTTAGTAATTAAAAGCCAAACAGCCTGAGCTAAACTTTTTTCTACATTTATTAGCCATGTGAATTTGGGCAAGTTTCTTAGACTCTACCTTGGTTCTCTCTTGTGTAAACTGGGAATGATAGTATATACCATATATTTTTTTTTTTATAAGGATTATTGAGTCAGTTCTTGTGCTCTGAATCTGTCTTTTTTTGCTCAGTGTTTTAATAGATCTACAGTTCCTTTAAGGTAACTCCTAGGTATTAATGAATGGTAAAGTTAGATGATAAAGGCTGAAGGGGAGAAAAAAACTCTAGCCTTACAAACTAAATCTTTGATGATAGAATATCAAGTATTGGAGACAGATTGGTAATGGTTGATATGGATGGTAGGTTGCTGGGTGACTAGATAATATGAACTGTGTTGGTCTTTTTAGCACCCCCTCAAATCATTGTAGGTTAGTTGGTGCATTTGAGAGAGCAATGCAGAAGGAATCAGATCAGCATTTTACTTCTGCTTCTTTCTGATTTTTGTTCAACACAATCTTAAGAAATTTTTTAGCTCAAGCATGGCAAACTTAAAGACTAACACAGGGCCAAATAAACAAGGTTTAAGTTTATATGGGCCGCAAAAAACCAAAAAATTCAATTTTCACAGAAACATAGGTTTATTTCGATAGAGACATGCTGAATACAAAGGGCTAAAATAAATGAGTAATAGTTAACATAAAGTAATAGAACATTTTAATAAAAATTAATATTTTTTCTTGAACATTAACTTACCATACACGGAATAACTACACAAATTAATAAGCATAACACACGTAAACCTATTTTTCTTGTCCTCCGAATGTGAGATATTTCCTGTTGCGCACACCAAACAAGTCTACAAGACCAATGACGTGGCAATCGGTTGCTAGAATATTCACTGCTAGTATTAGTGGAGAGAAATGGTGCGCTTGCATGTAAGGTGTGTAAGAGAAATGAATGCAACACGATTATAGTAATCAGTTATTAGGAATGTTGTAGTTTGTTATTAATAATTATGTATAACAGGGTATTGTAAAAATTAAGTTATGAAATTTTTATTAAAACGTTTCTTACATACAGTTATATTGGTTGGGCCACAAAACTATTTGTTGTGGGCTGCGAGTTTGACATGCTTGCTTTAGCTGCTTTGAATCTGTTTTCTTTTTTTTTTCTTTTCTTTTTTTTTAATTAAATCTTTATTGTTCAGATTATTACATTTGTTCCTCTTTTTTCCCCCCATAACTCCCCTCCTCCCAGTTCCCGCCCCACCCTCTGCCCTCACTCCCCACCCACTGTCCTCATCCATAGGTGCACGATTTTTGTCCAGTCTCTTCCCGCATCTCCCACACCCCTTTCCCCCCCAAGAATGGTCGGTCCATTCCCTTTCTATGTCCCTGATTCTATTATAATCACCAGTTCATTCTGTTTATCAGATTATTTATTCACTTGATTCTTAGATTCACTTGTTGATAGATGCATATTTGTTGTTCATAATTTGTATCTTTACCTTTTTCTTCCTCTTCCTCTTCTTAAAGGATACCTTTCAGCATTTCATATAATCCTGGTTTGGTGGTGATGAACTCCTTTAGCTTTTCCTTATCTGTGAAGCTCTTTATCTGACCTTCAATTCTGAATGATAGCTTTGCTGGATAAAGTAATCTTGGTTGTAGGTTCTTGGTATTCATCACTTTGAATATTTCTTGCCACTCCCTTCTGGCCTGCAAAGTTTCTGTTGAGAAATCAGCTGACAGTCGTATGGGTATTCCCTTGTAGGTAACTGAGTTTCTTTCTCTTGCTGTTCTTAAGATTCTCTCTTTATCTTTTGCTCTTGGCATTTTAATGATGATGTGTCTTGGTGTGGTCCTCTTTGGATTCCTTTTGTTTGGGGTTCTCCGCGCTTCTTGGACCTGTAAGTCCATTTCTTTCACCAGGTGGGGGAAGTTTTCTGTCATTATTTCTTCAAATAGGTTTTCAATATCTTGCTCTCTCTCATCTTCTGGCACCCCTATAATTCTGATGTTGGTACGCTTGAAGCTGTCCCAGAGGCTCCTTACAGTATCCTCGCATTTTTGGATTCTTTTTTCATTTTGCTTTTCTGGTTGGGTGTTTTTTGCTTCCTCGCATTTCAAATCATTGACTTGATTCTTGCGCTCCTCTGGTCTGCTGTCGGGAGTCTGTATAATATTCGTTATTTCAGTCCATGTATGCTTAATTTCTAGTTGGTTCCCCAATATAACATCGAGGGTCTCATTAGTTTTCTTGTAGATCTCATTAAATTTATCGGCGGCTTCTAAACAGTTCTTGAGAGACCTTAAAAGTGTGGTTCTGAACTCTGTATCTTCCATCGACAATTTTGTCCTGTTTCTTTGTCTCCGCATTTTGTTATTCTTCCTTGGTGCACCCCCTAGTGGTCTTTGTGCGAAGTCTTATAGTTAAACCTTGATTGTTGTAGCTAATACCAGGGAGGGTTTGACCTCCAGGCCAAGTGGCTATGAGAATCACCTGTGTCTGCAGTGAGAGAACTTCTGTCCTCTAGGGAGGTGCTAATCTAGCCTTTGCCTGAGGCTATCCGGCAAATGCCTCTGTGCAGGGCTTGGGCAGGGCGGGTCGCACAGGATCAACAGGGTGGGCTGGAGAGAGCAGTTATGGCGGCTCTCAGTCCTGTCCCCAGGGGCTCTGCCTCTCTGAGTCCCAGCGACCGCTGCAAACCTCGGAGAGAAAGCTGCACTCGCTCTGACCGAAGCCAGACAGTTCCGCTTCTCCCGTTTGAGTCTGGGTCCCTAAAGACTCGCCTGTATCTGGAGCTCAGAGTCTGCGACTCCCTCCCGATTGAAAACGCCAACCGCGCCCTCCGCCGCCAGCCCGCTCAGCGCACTCCGCACCTCAGAATTTGACTTCAGCACTGTGCCTCCTCTGAGTGTCCGTATGCGTTTCTCTTTCCTCCTAGTTGTAGGACTTCCACTCAGCCAGCGTTCCTGTGGTTCTGGGTGATGTCCGTTCCGTTTTTTAGTTTCACTTTTGAAGTAGTTGTTCAAGGCAGCAAATTCCGGCGTTAACCTGTGCCGCCATCTTGGTTCTCTCTGAATCCGTTTTCTTATTGATAGGGATAACATTTGTCTTACCTCTCACACATAGATGTCATTGTAATTAATAAGATGTTCTGAAAGTGAGTTGAAACTATAGACCACTGTATCCAAAAGTAAAATTTTTATTTAAAAAGACTAAAAATGAGATAATACATAAAGAGGTCTTAATACAGTATTAGGTATAGTTTTCCATAAAGAATAGCTGCTAGTACTGTTCATTATTATTGACGACACAGCTATTTATTTGTTAGCCTAGACCTGATTACTATTTAGGTTATTAAATAGTTTATGAATATATTGTTAATATCTGCTTTGATCCCACCCACTTCTGTTTATGTTTCAGACTCCTGGGAGAGTTGGCTCTCAAGGCTCTGATTTAGATTCATCAGGAACTCCTATTAACACGGTGGATGTCAATAATGAAAGCTCTTCAGAGGTATGAAAAATAATTTGGCAATAAAAGTCAATATTATTTAAGGGAAAATAGCAAATATTTGGAGTAATGAGTAGTAATTAAAGGTTTCTTGGGAAAAGTTATTATAGGTCTTTCTTACAAAGGAATGCAACTTTTTAATTATACTTACAGACATATACTGCTACTTAGTTGTGAGAATGAAAAATAATATTGTGAATATCTCTTCAGTGCTAATGTCATCTCAACTTAATAAAGACATCAAATTTGTTTATAAAGAATTCTTGATTAATAAGTATCTATGTGTTTGTACTTTCATGAACTGCTGAGCTAATGAAAAATTAAGTTATCTTTAAAATTTATAGATTTTCTGTCTTTGTAAAAACTTTTATCTTCGATAGCTTATTAAAATTAACAGAGAAAAAAATGTCTAAAGAAGAAATAACTTACATTTTTGAGAAACCAACCTTAGTAGCTGCTTTATTACAATTATCTTTTAAAACAAACAATATTTTCACGTTATAGAGAATGAAGAAAGGAAAGAGAAGAACATAAAACCACCCATAATGCTGTTCCTAAGAGATCTATACACATTCTGCTCTGATAGGTTTTGTTAGGTGACCCTTTCCGGATGCAATGGTACCACCCACCTAGTCCCCTTTTCTCTGTTCTTCCCTTCTCCTCTTGGTTAAGGAGTCTCTCTCATGTGTTTTTGGATGTATGTCTCTCTCTAACCATCTCTCTGTTTTTTTTCTCTCTCTCTGACCATCTGTCTTCTTTATCCATTTGTCTTCATGTACTGTATATGTATCTGTAATAATAAAAGTGTAATACGCTAATTAGACAGGACAGCTGAACAACCTTCCGGATGAAGCTGGGGCTGCAAGGGCTGAGCCTCTTGCACGAATTTTGTGCATCGGGCCTATAGTATTTACTATAATATGTTACAAGATTGCGAGAGCAAGAAGAAAAGTATCAGATAAACTTCATTAAGAACAAGTTTAAGGAAACGTCTTAAAAAAGACCCTCCAAACTGTGTTCATGATATGGTGAGCTTAAAGTGCCCAGCTATAACCCTGGAAAGAAATCTATTAATAATTATTGCCCATCCAGTGTGACTCAGTGGTTGAGCTTCGTTCTATGACACGGTGGTAGGGAACTGAAATCCACTACTCAGGTATAACAAGCAAGCCCTGCCCTGTTTCTTATGGAAAAGAAGGTTGTTTGGCTAGAGGACATTATCTGCAAGAGCAGAGTGGGGAGGAGAACTTGCAGTTAGGCCATTTGAAACCCCTCCTTTTCATCACTTGTCAAGGCAGCACATAATATTGGGCCTTAATTTTAGGCCGTATACCTTAGTCAGATATATGTGATGTGGATATTTTTTCTGAGTCTATGGCTTGCTTTTCATTTTGTTAATGGTGTTTTCAAGGAGAAGTTTTTAATTTAGGAGAAGTCCAATTTGTCAGCCTTTTCTTTTATGGTTAATGCTTTTTGGGTCCTCCTATACATTTTTTTTTTTTTTTTTTTTTTTTTTTTTTACCACCACAAGATTGCAAAGACTCTCCTATGCTTTCCTCTGACTTAAAAAAAATCATTTTAGGGTGTGTACATGTAAACCTGATTTATTTAAAATTCTTTTGTATGGTGTGAGATAGTGGTTGATGTTTATTTTTTCCACATGGATATGTAAACCACATTTTTCCATATGGTTATTTCAGTATTATTTGTTTCCCATTGAATTACTTTTACTTTTTGAGAAATCAATTGCCCTTATATATGTGGCTATATTTTTATGTTCTTAATTCTGTTTCATTGATATTTATGTATATACTAGAGGCCCAGTGCACAAAAATTTGTGCACTTGGGGGGGGTCTCTCAGCCTGGCCTATGTCCTCTCGCAGTCTGGGACACCTCGGGGGATGACCACCTGCTGGCTTAGGCCCGCTCCCTGGGGGATTGGTCCCAAGCTGGCAGTCAGACATCCCTATGGCAGCCCGGGAGCCCTGGGGGGATGTCCACTTGCCAGCAGGGAACAGGCCTAAGCTGAAGTCTGATATCCTTAGTGCTGCTGAGGAGGCGGGAGAGGCTCCCACCACCACTGCTGTACTGGCAGCCGTCAGCCTGGCTTGTGGCTGAGCAGAGCTCCCCCTGTGGGAGTGCACTGACCACCAGGGGGCAGCTCCTGCATTGAGTGTCTGCCCCTGGTGGTCAGTGTGTGTCATAGTGAGCAGTCATTCCCAGTTGTTTTGCTGCTAGGGTCAGTTTGCATATTACCCTTTTATTATATAGGATAGAGGCCTGGTGCATGGGTGGGGGCTGGCTGGTTTGCCCTGAAGGGTGTCTCGGATCAGGGTGGGGGTCCTGCTGGGTTGCCTGGCCAGCCTGGGTGAGGGGCTGATGGGTGTTTGCAGGCTGGTCACACCCCTTCAGGGTGGGGGTCCCCACTGGTGTGCCTGGCCAGCCTGGATGAGGGGCTGATGGCTGTTTGCAGGCTGGTCACACCCCTTCAGGGTGGGGGTCCCCACTGGGGTGCCTGGCCAGCCTGGGTGAGGGGCTGATGGGTGTTTGCAGGCTGGCTGGCCACCCCCTTTAGGGTGGGGGGTCCCCACTGGGATGCCTGACCAGTCTGGGTGAGGGGCTGAGGGCTGTTTTCAGGCTGGCCAAGCCCCCCCAGCGACGAAAGCTCCCAGCCTCTCCTTTTTTTCTTTTTTTATTCTGGGATTTATTTACCTTCTATAATTGAAACTTTTTTGCTTTGAGTGGAGCTCAGAGCCTGCTGCGGCAGGTGGGAAACCTGGCTTCCTCCATCATTGGGGCAACCAAGACTCCTGCTTGCTTCAGCTCCGTGGCTGCCGGCCGCCATCTTGGTTGGGTTAATTTGCATATAGTCACTCTTATTGGCTGGTGGGTGTGGCTTAAGGCATAGCAAAGGTATGGTCAATTTGCATATTTGTCTTTTATTTGTGTAGATGTATATTTAAGTCAATACTGTCTTGATTACTGTAGTTTCATAGTTAGTCTTCAAAGTAGATAGTTTAAGTCTCCCAGTTTTGTCCTTTTCTAGTTTGTTTTCACTTTTATGTAATAGGTTCTTTGTATTTCTTTATAAATTTGAGAAAACTTCTACTAGGATTTTGATTAGGATTATATATAACCTACAGATTAATTTGGGAAAGAGAAGCCATCTTAATATTGAATATTCTAATTCTTGCACATGATATAATTCAATTTCTTTAATTTCATTCAGCCATATTTTGTAGTTTTCAATGTAAAAGTGTTATATATTTTATTAAATTTATTAATTGGTAATTTTCATTTTTTTATGTTAGTGTAAATGGTATTGCTTCTAATTTTATTTTCCACTTGTGTATTTCTGTAATGTATTGACTTTTGTATGCCTATCTTTTATTTTACAATCTGACTAAATTAGTTTATTCATTCCAACAGGTTTTTTGGGGAGTTATATTAGGGTTCTCTAAAGAGCAGCAGAACCAATAGGTTCATATATGTGTTCTCAGCACCTTAGCGTAATGGATGGAGCACAGTAATCATTCTCAGTAAATATTTTTTTAAAGGAATTTTGACTTCAACTGCATTCTTTTCTTTTTTTAAATATATTTTTATTGATTTCAGAGAGGAAGAGAGAGAGAAAAACATCAGTGATGAGAGGGAATCGTTGATTGGCTGCCTCCTGCATGTCTGACTGAGCCCACAACCAAGGCATGTGCTCTTGCCCAGAATCAAACCCAGGACCCTTCAGTCTGTAGGTTGATGCTCTATCCACTGAGCCAAACTGGCTAAGGCAGTAAATATTTTTTGAATGAACAGTTGAGTAATTTTATGTGAAAATTTACAGTGAAGAAACCAGAAAGGCATAAAACTGTGATAGCAAAAAAAAAATGCTTTGATGCCTTCTTTTAAAGAATGATTACTTTGTAGTTCTAGCACTTGGAACTGTGGTTGCCTGAAAGACATCCCTTTCATTATTTAAAACAGCAACAACAACAACAACAAAACCCCCAAAGCCCCCCAAAATTGAATTCATGTTCCTCACTTTCATCTCCTAGCTAATCTCCTTTAAGGGTTGTTAACAAGAGGAACAATGACATTAATGATAGCCAACATTTATTAATGTCTTCTTTGTTACAGGTGCTATGATAAGCATTTCATATGTATTATGTCATTTAATTCTCAGGAAACACATATGAAATGGTTTATTATTATTATCTCATTTAACAGATGAGGAAATTGAAGGCCCTAAAATCTACTAAGAATAGTGTGAATCCATGATTCAAACCCAAGATTAGCTGTTAACTGCTACCTTGTCTTGCCTTCCAACTTTGGAATCTTGTTTGCATTCCTTTACTTTTGTCCTAAGTGGCATTAGTGGTTTAAAGAACATTCTCATCTCTCAGTTCTTAATGTTGTCAATTCCAATGCTCTTTATTATCTCTTTTCTAGCTACTCAAGCCACGGCAGTACCTTCTCTAGCTTATTGTCAAGCAGAATAATTTTACCTGAAATGTTAAAATCTTATCCATCATTTCTTTTTAAAAAAAATATTTTTATTGATTTCAGAGAGGAAAGGAGAGGGAGACAAAGATGGAAATATCAATGATGAAAGAGAATCATTGATTGGCTGCCTCCTGCACGCCCCCAACTGGGGATGGAGCCCACAACCCAGGCATGTGCCCTTGACCCTAATCAAACTCAGGACCCTTCAGTCTTCAGGCCAACCCACTATCCACTGAGCCAAATTGGCTAGGGCTTATTCTTCATTTCTTAACCATAAGTGCCTATCTTCTCAAAATCTTCATCATATTTTCACTACTTAATTTTGGCCTTGCTGAATATTTCAGATTTTAATTTCCTCTCTTTTCTTCTAGTCTTTAACCTTCCCAGGCTTTATTTTCTTTCCTTTCTAACCATACATTTAATGACGATTGGTATTAGGGAACACTTACAATGTCTCAGGCACTGTACTAAGCATTTTATGTACTACTCAATAATTGTAGAGAATAGTTACTAATATTCGCCCCCTTTTATAGATGAGAAAACTGGCAGCAAGTAAAGTAAACTGTGCTCATATAGTCAGCATAGGTTGAGATTCAAATCCACATCTATTTTTGACTCCCAAACTCATGACATTATAATTTTATAACCTCTTGTCCTTCACTACTGTCTTCATTTTGTTTATTTTTCCCAATACTATTAATTCCTCCATCTTCTTGTCCTTCTTCTGTTCCTATCTGACAAAATCCTAAACCATAGCTCAGTGTATCAGTACACATTTTAAAATACAGATGTCGTGAGGTATAAGAAATTTGGAAGATTGTTTTAAAATGATATTATTTGCCTCAGAAAAGTAGAATGAAGGGTCACCTACTGGGAATTATCGATGTGGGCAAGAAAGGGATCTCAGGCTAGAGGAATATGATGAAGACTAAAAATTGCTTTCATTATAAGACATTTTGTTTAATATATTGTATCACATAAAGGTATTTATTATAACTACTCAATATCTCTTGATCTAAAATAAAAGGTAACTTGCTAATAATAGCTCTCAGATAAATAAGGATTAAGTGTCATAAACAAAAAACATTAATTCAACTAATAATAAGTAACTTTATTTATGTATTTATTTTTAATCAACTTTAGTATAATAAAAAATAAAAAAAATGAAAATTTAGAGCATAAAATGGGAAGTAATTTTAGAAGTCCTACTTTTAAAGAAGTGTAGATCTTCCACCTTTTGTGCCATTAGTACCTGTAAATTTTCTTTACATATTCTAAAAGAGATAATACTAATTATTTTCCTGTTATATCTATCTTTTATTGTCTGTATTTTGTTTTATAAAACTTTTTATGTATATCCTCCTAAAAGTTGTTATTTCACAGGGTTTCATCTGTCCGTTATGTATGAAAAGATGTATAACTGCTATTGATTTGTCGGAGCATTACCAGAAAGTGCACGCTGAAAATGAAACAAGAGGACAGGAACTTCTTAATGACTCCAGTGTTACTGTGGGTCCTGTATATTTTGTTTTAGCAGCTTGGTTATGGGTTGCTCAGAATCGCTTTGTTTTTCCTTGCCTTGGTGTCGCTTAACTTTTTATGCTACATGGGAATATGGATTGCTTTAATTATGCATGCCTTAAAGAAAGTTCAATAATAAAAAGAGGCTCCTGGGAAGTTGGCTTGGTTTCTCTTACTGGGTGCAGCTGTCTTTTTGTGAATCTAAACAAATATACAAGTTTAAGTTATTATCTTTGTATAAATTTTGTCATGAAATTTGAAATATGCTGTGGATAATATTTTATTTCAACATTGCAAGCTCTATCTTTATTACATAGTTAATGTTGTAATGAATGCATTAAAATTTTTTAGGTTAAAACACTTTAGTCTTAATAGAAAAAGGAATTTACATGTGAGCTGTTACTGTCTTTTTTTCAAAATAAATTTATTGGTTTTTTTTTAGAGTGGGGAAGGGGGACAGAGGAAGGGATGGGAGGGAGAAACATCCACATGAGAGAAAAACATCCATCAGTTGCTTCCGGCATGTGCCCTGACCAAACTGGGGTTTGAACCCCCAACCTGGGTATGTGCCCATATTGGGACTAAAACCCACTACCTTTGGGTGTAGTGGAGGATGCTCCAACCGAGCCACACTGGCCAGGGTGAGCTGTGACTCTCTTTATTTGGAAAATATATAGCAGAACCTGAATCTACCCTGACCTGAGGGAGATGCCAGATTTCACACTCATTAACAGTGGATCACTGAAATGTTTTTCAGTAGTGTGTGGGGCTGGTGCATATCTAAAGCTGGGAATAGGATCCAGTGAGGGGAAGGAAATGTCCTTGAAAAAGTTTCTCAGATGATCCTGATATCCTATATAATAAAAGCCTAATATGCTAAGTGTCTGGTCAGCTGTTCAACCAATCAAAGTATAATATGCTAATGATATGCTAAGGCCGCTCAACTGCTTGCTATGACGTGCACTGACCACCAGAGGAAGATCCTCCTACCAGAAGTTTAGCTTGCTGCTGGGTCTCGGCTGATTGAGAATGAGCGAGACGGGCCGGACATGTCCTGGAGCCCTCCCGTGTCTCTCCCTGGCCCTAATCGTGACCCCGTGGGGTCCCTTGGCCTGGCCTGGCCTGTGCCCTCTTGCAATTGGGACCCCTCAGGGGATGTCAGAGAGCCGGTTTCAGCCTGATCCTGCAGGCCAGGCCGAGGGACCCCACTGGTGCACAAATTTGTGCACCGGGCCTCTAGTATATTATATATTTCTTTTGAAAATTACTGTGTCCTAAAAAAAGAGAAACATAACTTTTTTACTTGCTTTGTCTATAAATCTCACAAAAGAATGAAATTTTTTATACTATGAAAGACAAAAAATCAGACTTTTTCTGTGAGGCAATTTTATATATATGGAAATGATCTCGCCAAACATTCACTTATTTAACATATTAATAGAGTACCTCTTAGTTGCCAGGTATTTTGGTAGGTAAAGGAGACAAAAAAGTAAGATATGATTTCTACCCCAGGAAGTTTCTATGATAGATTTTATTTGTAAAAGGAGTGCAATGGCTATTTCAACTTGAGGGGACCTAGAAAATCTTCCACCTGGGAACAATTAAACCAGACATTCTCTAGGGTGATGGGGAAAATAGTACATATAGAAGGACATCAGTTAAATTAGTTGAAGCATTGTAAATAAAGATAGAGGCCTAACCCATTCTTGGGACTCTGCTTGGCATTTTACCAGTTGTCTTCCTTCCAGAATGATTGGGTTAACTATTTTTTATGTCGAAATCAGAAGGGACAATCTCACCTACCTGTCACTTAGATAAGAACTTTCCTTTTAATTCAAAGAACATTTGGTATATCAGGGGTACCATAAGTATCAAGTTAAGTTCTTAGCAAAAAATGAATCTGAAAAAGGATTACAGATAACTGAAATATGAGAGTAAGAAATTAAGGAATTTATTGTTTTTTTTAAAAAATATATTTTTTTGATCTTTTACAGGGAGGAAGGGAGAGGGATAGAGAGTTAGAAACATCGATGAGAGAGAAACGTCAATGAGCTGCCTCCTGCACACTCCCTACTGGGGATGTGCCCACAACCAATGTACATGCCCTTGACTGGAATCGAACCTGGGACCCTTGAGTCCGCAGGCCGATGCTCTATCTCCACTGAGCCAAACCAGTCAGGGCAAGGGAATTTATTGTTTTTAATCTTGAGTAAACTTTGTAGAGATTGGTTAGTTTTTTTTTTTTGTTTTGTTTTGTTTTTAAGTTGGTGAGAATTTGGACTGCTTAAGGGAAATAATTGCAGCTGGCTATTTTTATTGTTTTATTGTTTGGTAACAGTACTTTTGGGGAAGTACCGCAATCCCCTTGAAAATAGTTTAGGAAAAATAAAGGTGGAGTCTCTCAATGTCCAGAATTAGTATCACAAAGTCCTTGAACTAAAGATCATGCACACTGTTCATGGGGTATCACTCAGACACTCATTCTGAGCTTATTTTACTTTTATTTTAAATGAGTGATGTGGTTTTAATAACTTTTCCTTAATCTTAACCCTTCCTAACCATGGCAGACTCGCATATCAGGTTAGAAATAGCATGCAAACGATTTTCATAAATGATGGTTGAAAGACAAGACAGGGTGTAGAAAAAACTGTAAAATGTAGGTATAGAAATTTAAATAGTCTTGCCAGAATTAAGAGTGGATAACACCCAAATCAGTGATTAATAAGTTATGCCTTTGAGACACCAAGCAAAGATATAATATTATCTATTTAAGAAGGTGAGGAAGTATATGCATTTTAGAAAGATGTATTTTTATCGGCAATGTTTCAAAATTGGAATTTTATTTAGTTGTTTTAAAAAATATATTTTTATTGATTTCAGAGAGGAAGAGAGAGAGAGAGAGAGAGAGAGAGAGACAGAGAGACAGAGAGACAGAGAGACAGAGACAGAGAGAGATATCAGTGTTGAGAGAGAATTATTGATTGGCTACCACCTGCATGCCCTCTACTAGGGATTGAGGCCACAACCTGGGCATGTGCCCTAACCAGGAATTGAACCATTACCTCTTGGTTCTTAGGTTGACGCTCAACCACTGAGCCATGCTGGCTAGGCTGGAGTTTTATTTAAACATGCAAGCTCTAATCACATGGAAAATTCACATAGTTGGAATATTTTTAAAAGTAAATATATATTACTGAATTTCTAAAATTTCTCTACAGGGATGAATTAGTTCTTTCTGAACTATTAACCTGGTAATATTTAGAAAATTTAAGAATGTATGGCATACTTTAATGTGATCTTCTCTTTACCTGCTTTCTGGCATACTAGATTCCTAGAGCCAAAAGTTGGAAGTAGAGACAATAGTCAAAAAGCCAAAATTTTGAAGACTAAAGTTGGGATGTGAGTTCTCTGAGGAACACTCTAATTCTACATATTAGCAGGAGTTGAGACAAAAAAGAGAGAAGACAGCTGAGTATTATAGGTGTTCATGTGCTGTTACACTAATGGCATGCCAACTAGTAGGTATAACAATTATTAGAAGTTATAAGAATGCCAAATTAAGCACAATGCAGAGCCATTATGAAACATGGTGGTAGATAAGAGATGGTTTTGAAGAAAGAGCATAGATTAACACACAAACAGAATGTTCATTCATTAAAAAGATAGTGCTGAGTGCCAAATATCTCTGGGCCAAATGGCATTATTCTGATGTCCAAAGGCACATCCTCAGTACTACTGTCTTTGCTAATTCCAGGAGTTTTATAGGGGGTCACTGCATGCATTCACCTGTTGTGCCCATCATTCACTCTGGCTCTGTGACCAGAACATCTGTTTCCCAAACACAGCATGACTCTATTTTATACCTCTTTCTGCATCTTTGTTCATGCTCCTCCACTTCCTTAGGATGCCTTTCTTTTACTTCTCACAAGTAAATATTACTCATTCTCTAGTACCTGATTTCAATGTCATCTACCTATCTATCTGTCTTTATTTTTTATAAAGCAAGAACTGCTGCCACAGGCAGAGTTGGATATTTCTTTCCCTGTGTTTATGTAGTACTTCATATATACTTGTGTTATAGCATTGTCTGGTAATGTATGTCTATGTTTACATATAGGTCTCCCCAATACTCAGTGAGCCTTGATTCTGTCACATAATGCACATAAATGATGTGAAGATATGGTATTTGCATAATATCCAACAAAGGAGCAGCATTTTTATTTATTTATTTTTAGTTTTTACATGTTCAGAATACTTATTGCTTAGCTCAGTTTTTCCCTTGGAAGGTTTGATAATCTATAAGGTGTTAATTGTGTCCGTTGTTATTTTTTAACCAAATTTTGTTCAAAATTCTACATTAGCCATTAGGGAAACATGGATGTGTTTGTGTATTAAGTGAATGTAGAAACTTGACAAGCTAATGAGGATAGTGCTGGAGGAAAAAGTAGTATATGTGAAGGCACAAAAATGTAAAGTACTATGATGTGTTGAGGGAAATATAGGTACTTTAGTATTTTTGAAGCATGCTGTATATAGAGTTAGAGATGTCAAGAGAGCATTGGGAGACTAGTCATGCAGAATTACATATGCCATAACCATATAATAATTTGGGGGTTATGTATAAATTTTTCCTATTCTATGGGACTGTATATTAATTTTAGGCTTTTGCAGTACTAATCTTAGGTTAGCAAGGAGACTTACTTCTCAACCATTGTAGATACTCTGGTAATTATGAGTTATCTAATAAAAGAGAAACATGCAAATTGACTGTACCTCTGCTACACTCACAAGCCATGCCCACCAGCCAATCAGGACCGACTATGCAAATAAACCCAACCAAGATGGCTGCAGCCACAGAGCTGGAGCAAACAGGAGGCTTGGGTTGCCCCTGGCGATGGAGGAAGCCAAGCTTCCCACCTGCCCTGGCCGGCCCTGAGCTCCGCTCAAGGCTACAGAGTTTCAATTATAGAAGCTAAATAAATCCCAGATACCTGCTTCCAGCTGCTGTGGCCTCTGCTCAAGGAGGGTCTGGGAGCCTGGGTTGCCTGGGACCGTGGCCAGCCTGCAAACAGCCATCAGCCCCTCACCCAGGCTGGCCAGGTACCCCAGCGGGGAGCCCCACCTTGAAGGGGGTGTGGCCAGCCTGAAAACAGCCCTCAGCCCCTAACCCAGGCTGGCTGCGCCCTCAGAGGGGACCCCCACCCTGAAGGGGGTGTGACCAGCCTGAAAATGGCCCTCAGCCCCTCACCCAGGCTGGCCACACCCCCATGGGGTGAGGGTCCCTGCTGGGGGGCTTGGCCAGCCTGCAAGCAGCCATCAACCCCTCACCCAGGCTGGCCAGGCACCCCAGTGGGGACCTCCACCCTGAAAGGGGTATGGCCAGCCTGCAAACAGCCCTCATCCCCTCACCTACGCTGGCCACACCCTCATGGGGTGAGGGTCCCCACTGGGGGGCTTGGCCAGACTGGAAACAGCCCTCAGCCCCTCACCCAGGCTGACCAGGCACCCCAGCAGGGACCCCCACCCTGAAGGAGGTGTGGCCAGCCTGCAAACAGCCCTCAGCCCCTCACCCAGGCTGGCCACACCCCCATGGGGTGAGGGTCCCTGCTGGGGGGCTTGGCCAGCCTGCAAGCAGCCATCAACCCCTCACCCAGGCTGGCCAGGCACCCCAGTGGGGACCTCCACCCTGAAAGGGGTATGGCCAGCCTGCAAACAGCCCTCATCCCCTCACCTACGCTGGCCACACCCTCATGGGGTGAGGGTCCCCACTGGGGGGCTTGGCCAGACTGGAAACAGCCCTCAGGCCCTCACCCAGGCTGACCAGGCACCCCAGCAGGGACCCCCACCCTGAAGGAGGTGTGGCCAGCCTGCAAACAGCCATCAGCCCCTCAACCAGGCTGGCTACCCCTTCATAGGGTGAGGGTCCCTGCTGGGGCGTTTGGCCAGGGTAAAGAGCCATCAGCCCCTCATTAAGGCTGGCCAGGCACCCCAACGGGACCCCCCATCCTGAAGGGGGTATGGCCAAGCACCCCAGCGGGACCTCCCTTCCTGAATGAGGTGTGGCCAGCCTAAACACAGTCCTAAGCCCCTCACCAAGGCTGGCCAGGAACCCCAGCAGGGAACCCCACCCTGAAGGGGGTGTGTCCAGCCTGAAAACAGCCCTCAGCCCCTCACCCAGGCTGGCCACGCTCCCCCCCCGCAAGGACCCTCACCCCATGGGGGTGTGGCCAGCCTGCAGACAACCACAGGCCCCTTTCCCAGGCTGCCCCATGCCCCAAGGGAACTGCCACCCTGATCCGGGACACCCTTCAGGGTAAACCAGCTAGCCCCCACATGTACACCAGGCCTCTATACTAATAAAAGGGTAATATGCTAATTAGACTGGGAGACCTTCCAGGAGACCTTCCGGATGTTCTTCTGGACAAAGCCATGGTGGCAGGGCTGAGGTAGAGGCGGTTAGAGGCCAAGAGGGGAGGGCAGTTGTGGGTGACCAGGCTGGTGGGGGGTGGAGCTATTGGGGGTAAGCAGACTAGCAGGTGGTGCAGTTGGGAGCAAGCAGGCCATCAGTGGGGGTCAGTTGGAGGTGATCAGGACAGCGGTGGGGGACAGTTTGGAGTGAGCAGGCCAGCAGAGGGGCAGTTAGGGGTGATCAGGCTGGCGGGGGGGGGGGGTTGTTTGGGGGCAAGCAGGCTGGCAGGCAGAGTGGTTAGGGGCAATCAGGCAGGCAGGTGAGCAGTTAGGAGCCAGCAGTCCCGGATTGCGAGAGGGATGTCTGACTGCTGGTTTAGGCCCGATCCCTGTAAACCTGCAGTAGGACATCCTTCGAGGGGTACCAGATTGGAGAGGGAGCAGGCCGGGCTGAGGAATGCCCCCTCCTCTGTGCACTGGGCCACTAGTATATTACCCTTTTCCTCATTCAGTGGTAAGAATGCTTCATGTTCTTAATTTTATTGTTTTCATTCCTATGAAGTACATTGGAGCAGAGATTTTACTAATGGGGATATCTAGAGAGAGGGAGAATATAATAATATAACTTCCTCAACTAGTCTTCTAGATTAGAATTAATTTTTTCAGATAGAATTGTATACTCTAGCCATTAATTTATTCAACCTAAAAGATGGTTGTAAGGGCTTTCTTTATATTTTGCAAACTTCAACCAGAATAGTTAGTGATATACCTTTGTATAAAACCAGAATTTGGGATTAATATCATAAATTATAATTTATTTAATGGCACCATTATGTGAATAAGACACTGGACTATATTTTGTAATATATATATATATATATATATATATATATATATATATATATACACACACACACACACACACACACACACACACACATTTATTTTGCAATATTAAATACTATTTTGAAATCTTTTTCTTACTTTTCCTATAGGGTTTCATATGTCCCCAGTGTATGAAATCTCTTGGATCTGCTGATGAACTTTTCAAACACTATCAGGCAGTTCATGATGCTGGTAATGATTCCGGTCATGGGGGAGAGGCTAATCTTGCTCTGAAGAGGTAGGTATAGTATCATAGTTTTGAAATGCAATATCATTGTTTAATCTTAAACAATTAGTTTGTGAAAATAGTATTTTTATATTATTTAATTTAAATCTGTCCTCTGTTATCATGGCCTCCCTCCTTTACTGTTATAATCTATTCTGTCCTTGACTAGCAATAATCTATACCAGCATCTACAGCATGGTACAGAAGTTACGTTTTTATTGAAGGTTATGTTACCAAAAGAAGGTTAAATTATATTTAGCATATTCTATTTAATAAAGAATGATATGCTTTGTTTAGAAGATTTTATAGCAAGTTGTTAAAATAATAAATTTAGTCAAGAATTATTTAAAAAATTTTTTTTTATAATTATCAATACAGCAGTAAGCACACACATACATATACATTCTGTTTCTTGGCAATTTTGCCTGACCATTTTAAGAATTAAACTAAAATAGAATTACTTAAGACAGTATTCAACAATATAACTGCTTTTCTTTTGCTATTGGTAAGAACTCTTGTCTTATACCCCCATAAAGAAGATAGCTTGATTTCATTCTACTTGTAAAGTAATTTTTCTTCATCCTTTTCTTAAAAAAAAAAAAAAAAGATGCCTCTTGCTTAATCTGCTATAACACAAAGGTACCACATAAAGGAAAAACATTATGATCACATAACTGTGGTTGATAATGTAGAACTATAAAATATGACTGTTTTAACTTATTAAAATGTCTGGGAAAACCACTGCTTTTGGGAAGTATGAATCTTCCCTTTACCTGCTGGTAATGTATTTTTATGTGTGAGCTAATAATTTTGGGTACATTTCTTTGGTCATTTGTTAAGAAATAGATATAAAATATGTACTTAAAGCATATTATAAATTTTTAAATCCTTTTATTGATTTTTAGAGAGAGAGGAAGGGAGGGAGGAGAGAGAGAGAGCAAAGCATTGATGTGACAGAGAAACATTGATCTGTTGCCTCCCACCTCGACCAGTGATTGAATATACAACCTAGGTATGTGCCCTGACTGGGAATCAAACTCACAACCTTTTGATGTATGGGAAGAAGCTCTAACCAACTGAGCCACCCAGCTAGGGCCACATTATAAATATTTTTATATTTGATACCAATTTAACAGAGTTGCTTTTTCAGCTATGACTTAGTGCTCAGTATATGAACTTTCAACATAAAAGTATCCACAGTTTATCCTCATTTTTGCTTCTTAACTTTCATTCAACTTTTAACTCATCAAGCCCTGGATTTTGCCCTACCATTCTTCTGAAACTGCTCCTTCAAAGACCAAGAGTATCCTGGATTATTTTCAATTCTTATTGTGCAAGCAGAATACATTTTTCTTTACCTTCCTAGGTTCTTTTGCCTGGTCTGATAATTATTAAATTGACTTGAGACAGATTAACAAGAGAAAATAACCAAATTTAATTACCTATATACACAAGAGAGTTAGATATCCCACATATGTAAGAGATTCATAGATAGAAAGTAAAATGAGGTATATATGACATTCTGAGCTACAAATGAGATAAGGTGCCTTACGGTTTCAGAGGGGAGGAAGGTCATTCCCAGGATGAAAAGAGCAGATGTTGAATAATTAGAAGTTGCCCTGCCCTAGGTTCTAAAATGTTATTTTTGGTGATAACTCTTACTCTTATTGTGGGCAAGGCCTCAATTTAAATTTTTTAAAGGAAAGCTAAAGTTTCTCTTGAGTCCGTAGGACCTCCATTGCCTTCAGCTCAAAGTAATTCCCATGCAAAAGTAGCACTTCCTGGGGAGGTCTGTTCTGAACCACTCCAGAATGTTGACTTCTGTTTTGGTTCTCTATAACCTTGTAAAATTCACCCAAAATTTAGTGATTTAAAATTATAAAGTTTATTACTATGATTCTGTGGGTTGACTGGATGGTTCTTCTGCTTTAAGTGATATAGATTGGGGTGCTGGGAAGCCCAAAAGGTCCAAAATGGCCATAAATTCATTGCTGGAAGTTGGTGTGGGCTGCTGGTTGAAAGCTGATCTGGGGATACATGTCAGGGGCTTTAGTTCTTCTTATGGGCTTCTTCATGTGGCTGCTTGGATTTATAGACCAGCAGTTGTGTTCTGAGAAAGAGCATTCCAAGAGGCAATAACCAGAAGCTGCCAATTTTCTTCAGGCCTGGATTCAGAAGTGTCAGGGCCTCACTTATCCCACATTCTATTGGTCAATGTAGCCACAGGATTACTCTGGAATCTGAAGGCCAGCTCAGATTTAAGAGGCTAAGAAGTAAACTCTGTGAATGGAGAAACAGCTTCTGCAAATATGAAGGGAAGAATTTGATGGCAGCCATCTTTGTAACTATCTACCATAATCTCTGCAAAATTTGGCTTTGCTGACATCCCGATGTGATTATTTTTCTTGCTCTGTTTTGTGAGCTCTTCTCGCTCTATATCCACATTGTGACTTCCTCCTAAACTACCGAATTTTTCCGTGGATAAGATGCCCTTATGTATAAGATGCCCCCTCACTTTTCCAACCCAAAATTAAGAAATCAATATTTTAAACATAAAACAGAAAACATTTTTATTTAGTAATTACCACAGGAAATGTTTACATACCAGTATGTAAACATTATGCAGCATATCACTTTATTCAGCATATCACTTTATTCAGCATATCACTTTATTCAGCCTCTGTTGCATCACTGCTCTCTTCTTCATTGCTATTAGTTCCAGAATATCAATTTCTTCAACTTCTATTGTATCACTGCTGTCTTCTGAGTCACTATCTATATATGTGAGATCATCCTCATAAACTGGTGGCATTTTGTCAGCTAACTTTGTTTGCATTCTCATGGCCAACCCTTCTCTCCTCATGAAATTGAAGCACAATTTTGCCTTTCCTGTAAAATCAACAATCTTCATTGTGCTTGCAAGTATTTTTGCCTGACTTTGAATAAGCTTGATTGACACACATAAGCCACTCTGGCGCTGCTCCATAATCCAAGTTTTAAGTCTCTGCTCCAATTTTGTTTATTTTGTTGGTTATTCTCTTAAGGCCTTCTTTTTTGGTATCTTAAGGAATTGTTCTTCCTGTTTTCTCCACTGTCTGATTATACACTCAGTGGGAGGAGGTCCAAATTGTCTCTCTGCAGCGCTATTTCCATGCTCTTTTGTATAGCTGATTACATTCAGTTAGAATTTTGCAGAGTAAGACAATCACTTACCGGTATTTAGTATCTTGTTATTTTTTGACATTTTTATGGACTCAGAATGCTCTGATCCCTGTTGCATCTGTGCATCCTCCACCTCCACCTCCAATTATAGCACCAGCTGACGTCAGTAACAATAAGGCTTGTGATTGGAGGAAGCCGTTTGACAAGGTGTGGGCAGCTACGCATCTGCGGGACTCCCTCCTCGGCTGACGTCTGTGTATAAGACGCCCTTGATTTTCAGTATTAACGGTTTTAGAAAAAAGTAGCGTCTCATACACAGAAAAATACGGCACATCTCCAACCTAGAATTATTTCTCAAAATGCCTACTAAGTATCTTCTCTTAAATCAGCGGTTCTCAACCTGTGGGTCACGACCCCTTTGGCGGTCGAACGACCCTTTCACAGGGGTCGCCTAAGACCATCCTGCATATCAGATATTTACATTATGATTCATAACAGTAGCAACATTACAGTTATGAAGTAGCAATGAAAATAATTTTATGGTTGGGTCACAACATGAGGAACTGTTTTTAAAGGGCCAGAAGGTTGAGAACCACTGTAACATCTCACTATTGACATTTTTTAAACAGGGTTCATTATATTTCCTTTTATACGTACTCATTATTTACTTTTTCTGGTAAATGGCAACATTATCTTTCCACCCACTTAGTTTCTAAAACCAGAAAATTGGATTTGCTTATTTTTACACACCTGCCTCGGCTTCCCTATCTGATCTGTCATAAAGTCTATTTAATTCTGTTTCCATTAGGGGTATTAGACTTATTGGGGTGATCACTTTATAAGATATAAAAATGTCTAATCACTATATTATAAATCTGAAACTAATATAACATTGTATGTCAACTGTAATTGAAAAATTGAAAAAACAATGTTTCCTTAACAGCTTTCATAACCTTTTCCATCTTCAGTGCTACAGTTTTAGGCTTCATCATCTCTCACTCAAAAATATGTTTTTCAGTATTTATAGTTAACTTTCTGCCTTTACTCTTGTACCGCTCCAGTGAACTCTATATTACTTCCAGGGTAATAATCTTAAAATGCTAATTTGATTGCTGTTTATCTAAGTAGTAACTTTCACTAGTTTCTCATTGCTTCTGGAATAGTTAGTACATACTTTCCCAGGTTTATCTCTTACTATATCTGCTCTTCTCATTTTTATACATCTTTCCAGTTTCTAATATCTACATCCTGCCCCTCACTAACACAGTGGATTACATGTGACTATGGACATTTGTCTTTTAGATCAAAAGCCCACATGATTTGGGTGGGTCATGAAAACTTTTACTTCAAAGCTCTCAATCAGTTTACATGTGAATTCTATTAACACTAGTCACATATTTGAAACCTGATGCATTAGTACTTTTTTGGGGAGCAGATTTTTAAAATGTATGTACAGATAGCATATACCGAGTGCAAAATTCAAATGATTCAAAAAGTGATTTGGTAAAAATGGAATCCTTGTCACATCTTCCTCTAGCCTCTTACTGTTCATTAGTTTTTGCATATACCTTCAGAATAGTCTATACATATATATGCATATGCTTACATCTGTGTACATATAAAATATGTAAATATCTGTAATTACATAAAAGAGCAGTTTGACAATGTCCTGCACTTTTTATTTCTCTGTGTATGTTATGAATTGTTTTATATCAGTGCAGGTAAAGCTGTTTCATTCTTCTTAATGATAGCTAGGAATTTTATCATTCTCCTATTGATGAGCAGTTAGGGTATTTCCAGTGTTTTGCAATTACAAACAATGTGATATATGTCCTTGTGAATGTATCGTTTGTATATGTTTGAGTATATTTGTAAAGCAGCAATTTCCAACCTTTTTTATCTCATGGCATGCATGAAGTAATTACTAAAATTCTGAGGCACACACACAAATATATTTTTTTGCCAATCTGACAAAAATAGGTATAATTTTGATTAATTCACAAAAGATGACTATTATTGTGTTGGCTATTGTCATTTTTTTTTGACAATCTAGGGGGAAAAAAGCTCAGTTATTAAATGTAAAAATTCTTGTAGCATACTGGTTGAAAATCACACCTGTAAGGGAAATTTCTAGAAGTGGAATTTTTGGACAATGTTTCCCATTAAAATTTTAATAGATGTTGCCAATTGTCTTTTGTAAATATCTTAAGTTATTATGTTATGCATTTCAGAACATTTTCTATTGTAGGCAAATTACTTTCACAAAATTATTAAAGTGGCTTTTTAAAAAAGATTAATTGAAGTGAACCAACCAAGTTAGAGGTACAATTGGAATTATTTTCCTTAGAATTTCATTAATTTTTAAAAATATTTTTATTGATTTCAGAGAGAAAGGGAGAGGGAGAGAGAGATAGAAACATCAATGATGAGAGAGAATCATTGATCAGCTGCCTCCTGCACATCCCCTACAGGGGATCGAGCCCACAATGTGGGCATGTGCCCTGACTGGGAATAGAAACGGCAACCTCCTGGTCCATGGATCCATGCTCAACCACTGAGCCATACAAACCGGGCTTCATTAATTTTTTTTAATCTTTATTGTTGAAAGTATTATAGATGTCCCCCCTTTTATCCCATTGACCACTTCTAGCCCACTCCTGCCCCTTCCCAAGCCTTCACCACGCTATTGTCTGTGTCCATGGGTTATGCATATACACATACAAGTTCTTTGGTTAATCTCTTCCCATCCATTCACCCATCTCGGCCTTCCCATACTTAGATTTGACATTTAAGTATGGTTTTATTATTTCCTTTCTTCATCCTTCTAGTTTATACATAGAGTTGGAAGATTACTAAATAGATTACTAAATAGTTTTTATTTCTATCATAGAACTAGTGGTAGTCTATTACTCTTCTTTACATGTTCATTTTCCCCATTAGACTGAACAACTTGAGAGTTTGGAAAAGGCAACAAATATCTGTTGAGTAATGAATGAATTCCTTACATATGAATGTCTATGAAAGGTAGAGGACTTATTTCTCCATCTTTTACATTTCTCTTAGTTGGCAATTTCCTCCCCACCGCCCCCCCCCACTATTAACCCTATTTCACAGATCAAGCTGACTCTTTATTCTCTATCTCTGCCCTCATTCTAGATCAGAATTCTCCCACGAATATGTTTCATCATCTTTTACCTTGCTAACAGTCTTGTGCTGTGTGGACTTGATCTTCTCATTAGAAATGATCCTGTTCTCCTATTCCCTTTATACCAAAATCAATTCATTTGAGGATTCCTAATGAACTCATTTCAATTCTTGTGTCTTCTACCATGGCAACCATTAATAGTGGCAAGGAACAAGGAGAGTTCCTTTTTTTGCTATTTACAATCCAACAATGGATGATACGTCCAAACATCCAGAAGGGTGATACCAAAAGTATTTTATCATGGAATCTCTCCTGCATTAGGGACAAGAATGGTCTTTGGCTTACCATTCTTTGTCATACTGACTCTTAGGTGAGGATAACAATGTGAGAAAGTTCCAGAGGAAAGAGCGTATCAGTCAATGTTGCTAGAGCTAAGTGAATGAGGGGGAGAGCGATAAAGCAAGGACTAGATGGTGCAGATTTTATAGTCCTTGTTAATGAGTTTAGATTTTATACTAACTGCAATAGGAAAACATTGATTCTTATTGTTGGTAAATTAATGGGAGATATCTTGTTTCTGGCTTAGCCACTTGGATTTCAGTTATATCATTCTTTCCATGATAAAGTGTTTTTCCATGTACAAACAATGAACTTTAGGAATAAAATTATTTTCCTTAGGGTTTTATATATATGCCACTGTACATAAAATTTATGAGTTTTTATTTTTTTAAATTGAGAGAACTAGAATATTAATATACAGACACTAGCCATGATTTGTTAAGAGAGTAGTTTGTTCATGGAAGAACATTATTAATTAATTCTCCTTCCCTCCCTAATATGTTTAGAGATGATGTAACACTACTTAGACAAGAGGTCCAAGACCTACAGGCTTCACTTAAGGTAAGAATATAAATTATTATATTAGTTTATTTTCAGTGTTTCAGATAGTAAATCTTTTAAAATTTGCTAATTAAAAATCTTTTTTTTCCCTTTTAGGAAGAAAAATGGTACTCAGAAGAATTAAAGAAAGAATTAGAAAAATTTCAAGGGCTGCAGCAGCAAGTAATTGTTTTTAAATGCTTGAAGTGTGTTTATTAGTTGATTATTGTTATTGTTGAAAATTAAGCATAGCACTTTTTTTATAAGCAAGTGGTTTGATATAAACAATTTACTAATTTGTTTCCTGTGTTTAATAGCCTACAGTGTATACCTTTTGTAATTCTAATGAATGCAAACAAGTATATGGGAATCTAAGAGGTAACTTCTTAAAGTTGTGCCATTAAAAATCAGTTACCTGTGGATTTTTTTTAAATATTAGGCTACATTATTATATTCTAACAATGTACCAAAATGGTTAAAAAATGTAGGTTCAAACAGTAGTGAAACTCTTCAAAGTATTTGTGATTGTGACAAGTTGGAAATGCCTAAAATGTCTTTTGGTAGGGAAAGAACTGTTATTAACTGTTATAGTGAAAGTTGTTTGAAAACATCGGAAAACTTGTATTACTGTTAGGTTTTAAAAAACAGAATAAAATATTTATATATATGTGTGCATATACATAAACACACGTAAATATTATATGACTTTACATAAAAATAATATATAGAAAAAACAAGAAAATCACTGTGTTATCAAAAGTAGTTATCTCTGAGTGGGATTTTTTGTTACCTAGATTCTTCATAGTTTAGTATATTTTCTAAGTAAATATCTTAACCAATTATGATTTTACACTAAAATTATATTGACTTTTAAAGTAAAATTACATAAATTGCATAAAGAATTGTGGAATAATGAATTTTGTCAAATCCATATATAGTTTTCATTTATTTTTGTTTTTGTTTTTTTTAATCCTCACCCAAGGATATTTTTCCATTGATTTTTAGAGAGAGTGGAAAAGAGAGGGGAAGATAGAGAGAAATATCAATGTGAGAGAGATACTGGTACATCGATTGGTTGCCTCCTGTATGCCCCCTAACCAAGCCAAGGCCTGGGCTGGGGAGGAACCTGCAACCAAGGTACGTGCCCTTGACCAGAATTGAACCCAGGACCCTTCGGTCCGCAGGCTGACACTCTACCCACTGAGCCAAAGCAATGAGGGCTATAGTTTTCATTTGTAAGAATAAAATGAATATTCTCACCGGCTGACCGCGCCGAGCGATCGGGGCTGGCACTGGGCCTCAGCAGCGGGTGTGAGCGGCGGTTCCAGGGCCAGCAGTGGGTGCAAGTGGGGCCAGCGCCAGCAGCAAGTGCGAGTGCTGAGAGCAAAGAATTTTCAGTAACCACCAGAGGCTCACCCGATGACAGTGACCGACGTCCCGCCTTGGTCTGGCGCCCTCACTCACCTCCACCATCCCGCTGAGGCCTGAGGCCCACCTTGTTCCGCACTCTGCCACCTGCTGCCCACGCCCACCATGTTCTGCATGCGCCCCCTGGTGGTCAGCACACGTCATAACGACCAGTTGTTCGGTTGTTCTACCATTTGGTTGTTTTGCATATTAGCCTTTTATTATATAGGATTGGTGATCCCTTTGAACATTATCTTAGCATATTGTGACTCTCAGTCTTTTTGCCTTTTAGTTTTTTTCACCAAAAATTGTCATTTGGACTAGAAAAGACAAAAACAAATAAGTGGACAACACAATATCAGTCTTTTTACTATTCAGCCTCTATAACTGAGATTGTATTAAAGAGGCATTTTTATAATCTAAAATATTTATAGATTACTCATCTTTTACATGGAAGCTGTTAAGAACTAATCAAACATGGGCTGAATTATCTTAGAGAGGAAGTTGTTAACTACATTTGAGATGACTATTTTACATTTAATAAATAAATTCTCTACAGTGCAAGGTGTAAATTGACCTGTTAGGGGATTTACCTTTGTGGGGAAATGTATTTGAAATATTGATGATTCTTAGCAATCATAATGTCCAAATCAATGGATGGAAAAAGAATCAGATATGCTATGAGATGCTTTATTAAACAAACTCTATCATATGTGTATAATTCTTTAGACTATGACAATAATGACAAGGCAGTATATTATTTTGTTCCTAATGCATGTGCTAAATTAAACCTTATGGAATATGTTCTTTATTTCTGCTTTTAAAAATGATTTATGATCCTGAATTAAAAATTTATGCTTTTAATGCCAAATTTTTTAGTAATGATAGTTCCATGGCATATTTATCTAATGTAAATTTTCAAATATTATAGTATTGAATCTTGCCTGCTGAATTACTTGATTTACAATTGTATTATATTTATTTATTAATTGGAATAATTTATATTTATTATTGAATTTATGGAATTTAAGATGCAATCTATTACAAGACACATACTACGGTAATTTTTTACAGGTCAACATAAAAACATTCTTAGAACCAGTGAGTGACAGTTAATTATTATGCCAGTGTGCCTAGTATTATTACCTTAGAGATCTGGAAGAATGTGAGCAGGTCAAAATTTAATTTTCATCAATATGTTCTTACTTTCCTGACTGAATGTGGCTTTCAGAGATTTGTTTTTTAAGCATTGGCAATTGTAACAGCATTATTTTCTTTTTAAATTAATTGGTTTATGTCTTTTGTTTTCATTGAGGTGTCTAAACCAGATGGATTGGTGGCTGAGTCATCAGCAGGTAACTTTACTTAAAGCAGATATTTCGTTTCTCTTTTTTCTCATTCTTTTTTATTTTTTTCTTATGTCTGCTATATGAATTTTGTTTTGTGGTTATATTTTAATTGCTCTAAAATAGTGAAGATAATAGTAATAGACCTGTGAACTTTATAATTAAACAATTTAGTAAAAAAAAATCTTAGTATTTTCTTAGTTCATTATATTCTGAGGTTACAAACTTCTGGAATATTACATCAATCAATATGGTTATTTAATAAAAAGTTAAATTTATTAATCAAAGAGTGATGTACTCTTTCTCTTAAAAGAAAATGATGAAACTAGCATCTTTGTAACTATAACTGGAGGAGTGCTCAGTGAATAATCAAAATTATTTTTGAGGTTTTCTTCTGTATTTAATTTCCCTTTGAAATCTCTTTTCTTTATGAGAATGAAATATTAGCAATTGCCTGCATATTTTTAATTGATTATTTTACTGAAGATCTTGATTTTTTTCCTTATATCATTTCTCATTTCATTTCACATTATTACAGATTTTATCAGAGAAGCAGAATATATTCCTTTTTAGTCAGTTGACAGATATAGAAAAATAACTATGATATATGAAATCAAAATAATTTTTAAGCAAGTATTTGTAGATTATTTGGGTGTGATGCTAAACAGTTCTTTCATTTATTTTACATATTTATAAACTATGACTTGTGTCTTAAATGAGACAGATATGCTTAATTCTTAAAATATGAAGATACTGGTAATTGGTAATAGACATGTTAATTGTCTTTATTGCAATGATTATGATATAAGTAATTAAAATTTAGCAACTGTAATTAACATTATATGTGAGTAAATACTATACTTTTCTGTAGAACTTCACTCTTTGGAACAACAATTAGAAGAAGCTCAAACAGAAAATTTTAATATTAAACAAATGAAAGACTTATTTGAACAGAAAGCAGCACAACTTGCCACTGAAATTGCAGGTAAGTTGATTAAGAATATTTTAGCTAACACATCAGTTTCATTTCCTTTTGTCATAATACATCCTAGAAATAAACATTGTATTTTAGTGATAAAGTATTTATTATGACTATGGTGGTGATTATTGGAATTTAATAACATAATTACTATATAAATTATTTTGTTTGTCGTCCCACCTACTTCCTTCAGAGGACTTATTTTCTCTATAAAATTCTTCTTGAATTTTAGAGAACATGAATTTTCTTTTGGGGTATCTTAAAGGTTAACAAATAACATTTTGAAGATGTTAAATAACATAGTATAAATTTAACCTTTGGTTATACTATCAGTTACATATATTATTATTATTATTTTTTTTTATTTTTTTAATTAAATCTTTATTGTTCAGATTATTACATTTGTTCCTCTTTTTTCCCGCCATAACTCCCCTCCTCCCAATTCCCGCCCACCCTCCGCCCTCAATCCCCACCCACTGTCCTCATCCATAGGTGCACGATTTTTGTCCAGTCTCTTCCCGCATCTCCCACACCCCTTTCCCCCCCAAGAATAGTCAGTCCATTCCCTTTCTATGTCCCTGATTCTATTATAATCACCATTTCATTCTGTTCATCGGATTATTTATTCACTTGGTTCTTAGATTCACTTGTTGATAGATGCATATTTGTTGTTCATAATTTGTATCTTTACCTTTTTCTTCCTCTTCCTCTTCTTAAAGGATACCTTTCAGCATTTCATATAATCCTGGTTTGGTGGTGATGAACTCCTTTAGCTTTTCCTTATCTGTGAAGCTCTTTATCTGACCTTCAATTCTGAATGATAGCTTTGCTGGATAAAGTAATCTTGGTTGTAGGTTCTTGGTATTCATCACTTTGAATATTTCTTGCCACTCCCTTCTGGCCTGCAAAGCTTCTGTTGAAAAATCAGCTGACAGTCGTATGGGTATTCCCTTGTAGGTAACTGAGTTTCTTCCTCTTGCTGTTTTTAAGATTCTCTCTTTATCTTTTGCTCTTGGCATTTTAATTATGATGTGTCTTGGTGTGGTCCTCTGTGGATTCCTTTTGTTTGGGGTTCTCCGCGCTTCTTGGACCGGTAAGTCCATTTCTTTCACCAGGTGGGGGAAGTTTTCTGTCATTATTTCTTCAAATAGGTTTTCAATATCTTGCTCTCTCTCATCTTCTGGCACCCCTATAATTCTGATGTTGGTACGCTTGAAGCTGTCCCAGAGGCTCCTTACAGTATCCTCGCATTTTTGGATTCTTTTTTCATTTTGCTTTTCCGGTTGGGTGTTTTTTGCTTCCTCGCATTTCAAATCATTGACTTGATTCTTGCGCTCCTCTGTTCTGCTGTCGGGAGTCTGTATAATATTCGTTATTTCAGTCCGTGTATGCTTAATTTCTAGTTGGTTCCCCAATATAACATCGAGGGTCTTATTAGTTTTCTTGTAGATCTCATTAAGTTTATCGGCGGCTTCTAAACAGTTCTTGAGAGACCTTAAAAGTGTGGTTCTGAACTCTATATCTTCCATTGACAATTTTGTCCTGTTTCTTTGTCTCCGCATTTTGTTATGCTTCCTTGGTGCACCCCCTAGTAGTCTTTGTGCGCAGTCTTATAGTTAAACCTTGATTGTTGTAGCTAATACCAGGGAGGGTTTGACCTCCAGGCCAAGTGGCTATGAGAATCAGCTGTGTCAGCAGCGAGAGAACTTCTGTCCTCTAGGGAGGTGCTAATCTAGCCTTTGCCTGAGGCTATCCGGCAAATGCCTCTGTGCAGGGCTTGGGTGGGGTGGGTCGAACAGGATCAACAGGGTGGGCTGGAGAGAGCAGTTATGGCAGCTCTCAGTCCTGTGCCCAGGGGCTCTGCCTCTCTGAGTCCCAGCACCCGCTGCAAAGCTCGGAGAGAAAGCTGCACTCGCTCTGACCGAAGCCAGACAGTCCCGCTTCTCCCGTTTGAGTCTGGGTCCCTAAAGACTCGCCTGTATCTGGAGCTCAGAGTCTGCGACTCCCTCCCGATTGAAAACGCCAACCGCGCCCTCCGCCGCCAGCCCGCTCCGGGCACTCCGCACCTCAGAATTTGACTTCAGCACTGCGCCTCCTCTGAGTGTCCGTATGCGTTTCTCTTTCCTCCTAGTTGTAGGACTTCCACTCAGCCAGCGTTCCTGTGGTTCTGGGTGATGTCCGTTCCGTCTTTTAGTTTCACTTTTTAAGTAGTTGTTCAAGGCAGCAAACTCCAGCGTTAACCTATGCCGCCATCTTGGTTCTCACATATATTATTATTTTTTTAACTACATGCTTCAAGGTTAACTATTATATGTGATTAAATATACACTAAAATTCTATTTAGTAGAATACTTATATATGCAAAAACTTTTTATTATTTTAGGTTTGTTATTTAATATAATCAGCAGTATACTTTTATTACATATTTATGATTATCTAAGGACAGTGGATTTAAATTAAGTAATACATAGATATTACAGGAATTTATAAAACTGTTCTTCCTTAGAATTAATGTCATGAAACTAATATACATATTTAACTGTCTTTAATTAGATATAAAGTCAAAATATGATGAAGAAAGGAGTCTTCGAGAAGCTGCTGAACAAAAAGCGTCACATCTGACAGAAGAATTAAACAAAGAGGGAACTATAATTCAAGATCTAAAGACTGAACTGGTAATTTACAAACAATTTATTAGAGTGTACCTTTATAATCTTCTAAATTCAAAATGAAATACCTGTTCTGATGAAAAATATTTAAAAGTAGCTTGAGTACGGTAAAATGGAGGAAATAAAAAAATTCCTAATAGTTCTTCTACCTTTTTCCTATATTCTAGATAGGATTTTTTAAATCAAAATGGAATTTTATGATACATAATTTATTACCTTTAACATTTTTGTTGTTTCTATCATAATATCTTTTTTGTATTTTCCATATCTGCATATCTCTGATCCTGACCTTCCCTTGCTCTTTAGTTTTATAAATCCACCTACTTTTAGGATATTTCTAGTTGCATTTCTAGCTTTCATTTCAAATTCAATAAGTATATATAGCTCATGGACACAGATAGTAGTGTGGTGAAGGCCTGGAGTGGGGCAGGAATGGGGTGGGGGAGGCCAGTGGGGAAAATGGAGAACATCTATAATACTCTCAACAGTAAAGATAAATAAAAAAAATTCAGTAAGTATAACATCAAGTCCTCATATTCCTCCTAACTATATTTCTGTCTTTGGTATTGTACATCTTCACCACTCTTCCTTAGGCTTAACAACCTTGGATCTGTTCTTGACTCCTTTCTGTTCTTTAGTTAGCACTCAGTAACTATGTGAATGAATGACTCAACTATATTCAGTCTATAACAAATCCTAATTATGCTTACATCTGCTCCTTCATTTTTATAGGGTAGAAAATGAAGGAATGTAAACATTTATCAAGTGATTGTTATCAATGAGCGTAGTTTGTAAAGGCAAAGAAAGCAAATAAAGAAATGCAGATAATTGTGAATTTGGTATTTTTCACCTTGAATGGTAATGCTATTAAAGAAGAGAAGAGGCTTGCTCTGGGGAAGAAATCAGTGTTTGATGTTTGGAGTTCAGTAATTGATATTAAAGATTGTTTTCATTTTGATTTCTTTGTAGTAGAACCATTGAAAATGTTTATAATTTTAGTTTTTCACTGTAATTTTTAAAAAAATATATTTTATTGATTTTTTACAGGAGGAAGGGAGAGAGATAGAAACATTGATGAGAGAGAAACACCGATCAGCTGCCTCCTGCACACCTCCCACTGGGGATGTGCCCGCAACCAAGGTACATGCCCTTGACCGGGACCCTTCAGTCCGCAGGCCGACGCTCTATCCACTGAGCCAAACCGGTTTTGGCATCACTGTAATTTTTAATTAACATGTGTTGTTGCTTCACAGCTTCAGAGACCTGGTATAGAAGATGTTGCTGTGCTAAAGAAAGAACTGGTCCAAGTTCAGACACTAATGGATAACATGACCTTGGAACGTGAGAGAGAATCTGAAAAACTCAAAGATGAGTGCAAAAAATTACAAGCAGATTATGCTAACTCAGAGGTAATGAAGTTCAGTGTACTTAAATGTGATTGACATTAACTTATTTATACTGTTGAAAGAAGCCAGGATTTGATATTTTTCTGAGTGACCTATCAAAACAGTATTTCATTTCTTTAATTTTCTCTGAGTAATATTGTTATATAGTCAATATGGTCTGAGAGTCACTATTTTGTCTCTGCTTTATGTAGCTAGGCATTTGGAGAAGAATGTTTGCATAAAAGTGTAATGTGCAATTTAATAAATGATATATATTGTGTAGAGATGATATTTAAAGTTAAATTTGCTCCTGGCTAGTCAGTAAGTGGTAATTGAGTTTATTTCAATTAGGTAGGGGTAAAGGAAGCATTTCTGAGAAGTAATATACAACTCTTGCTAGATGGTGTAGAGGTTCATATTTCTTCATAAGTCAGCCATTCCATTGAGTTGACATTCATTTCCATGTAATTTACATGCACTGGATCCAGTTCTCCTCAGGAATTAATCCTCTTTTCCTCATGAGATATTCGAAGGCTGTACATATTTACTCTGAGTTTTTTCTCTTCCAGGATAAACATTCTAGTTCCTTCTATCATTTCTCTAACATGACATGACCTTGGCCTGTAAATCCTGTATATAATTATGTCAGCATGTGATTAGCTCTAGGATATATAACAAATATATTTGTGTAAAAATACCAGCCTTTATCCCTTTTACTGTATTATAAGAGATATTGTTATGAATACTATTATTTGTAGTTCTTAAGCTCTCTTTTGTGATGTGGACCTCAGTTTTTTATATTTTCAGTTTAAAAGTAAAGTTATAGTGACCTTTCAATTTGTATCTCTGTCTTAGAGTTTTTAAGCTGGTGATCTGAAAGCTATTCTATTCATATTTAGTAATATATTGAGCTATGGATTTTAAATATTGATAATCCATGCCATTTTTTACTCCTTCCTGTGTCTTATCAATGGGGAATGGGGAAAGTCTACAACATGTATAGGCATATGAGGCTTTCTCTGAGCCTTAACACTTCAGAGTTTAAAGTTTAAGAATTTTAGGGCCAGAATTCCCAAAAGTGATCTTTGTAGTCCAATGACACATAATCTCACAGTTTTTCCAGCAGTTTCAGGGACTTCATGAACTTATTGAAGACAGTTAAAAGCTCCTAATGTGTAATAAAGGAGAGGCTGAATCAAAGACATCTCTTGAGGAAAATCCCATTTAGATAATGCTAAAGTAGAAATACTTGAACCTGAGTGAATCTAGTCATTTACTTCTGTGCTTCAAGAAGAATTACTTTTCATTAAATCTGCCTGTCTACTAGTATTTCTCAAATTAAAAAAAATTTTACTCTGTTTTAATGACAAGTTCCCTTAATGTTATTTTAAATTTCAAAACAAAAGCAATGGAGTGACTAAAATTGAGTCACAGTAATGGCAGTTTCAGAATATGTCTATTTAAAGTGCAATCCTCCTTGACCTTTTCCAGCTGAGAATTATGGTGTTATAGTTGTTATACCAGTAGAATTTGAACAAAGAGAAGAAATATCTATATACTTACTTGCATTTGGGGAAAAATACACATGGGAAAATACTTTTGAGTAATATTTTATTTAAGAATTACTCTAAGTTTAGCCCTGACTGTTGTGGCTCAGTTAGTTGAGTGTCATCCCATGTACCAAAGACCTTCTGGTCAAGACAAATGCCCAGGTTATGGATTCAATCCCCGGTCAGAGCACATGCAGGAGGCAACTGAAAGATGTTTCTCTCTCACACTGGTGTTTCTTTCTCTCAAAAGTAAAAACAATAAAAAGAAGAAGAAAAAAGAATTACTCTAAGTTTAATATGAAGATTTTTTAAAATTTATATTTTTATTCATGTAGATTAAAATATCTTTATATGTAATGAGAAGAGGTTCTTTCAAGTTTTCATAAAAAAAGCTTGTGTTTTGAAGTAAATTTTAAAATAAAGGGATTTATTCCTGCTGAATAATTGGTGATTTAATATTTTATTATATTATTACTAAAACATAGATAATATTTACTCCCTTCTTAGTTAATTAATACATATATAGTGATTGAGACCTCATTATTTTTGAATTATTTTGAACAACTTTAGGAAAAGGTAGCATAAGAAAGTAATATTATTAGAAACTGACTCTTACTTTTTGAGTTCCACTAGTTTTGGATACTATGCTAGGCATTTTAAATATGTAGTCCCATTTGTTTCCTTTAACCCTGTGAGTTAAGTACTATTTTAAATTTGTTTTATATATGTGAGGAATCTGAGACTCAATGAGGTTATATGACCTTTTCAAGGCCATGCACCTAATATTAAGAAGCCAGCATTAGAACTCAAGTCTTACCCAAATCCTGTGTTCTTTCTGTGTCATGCTATCTTCTATTTTAGGTGATCTGATGGTTTGCCTTAAAAGTAAATTTTGTGCTGTTAAACTTGACCCTAATACTTATTGTTATGACTTTTTGTATTTTGCCATATTGTATGTTGTAATATTTATATTAAGTATAGCTTAAAATTTATTTTGAGTTGTGTCTCATACATTTATATGAAAAAAAATACTGTCTAAATATTTCATCTCATCTATTTGTTTATAACTGCATTTGTTTTTAGCTTCTGCTTGCTCTTTAAATATATGGCATATATTTTATTAATTTATTAACATTTAATTCCATTTATTCTCAGTTAAGTGTGTTGGTAAATTATAGCACTTAAGGAACTTAGTCGAAAAAAATTTCATTTTATATATTAACTATTTTACTGAACCTAAAAATTAGCATGAAAAACAAAACACATTAAAAGGAAATAAAGAAGCTAAAAAATGCAATGATTTATTCCTAGTTGAGGCTGAAGATATATAACTTGGTGTGCATTGTTAAATAGGTCCTTATGTTTCATTACTTTCATTAAATATATACATTACGCATTTATTGACAGTTTTCGGTCTAGATATTTTAAATGGCATATAAATCACTCATTCTAAAAAATTTGAAAGTACTTTATAAATACTAATTAACTATTTCATAGATCAGAAATTGAGGATTTAAAGCTTTAAAAGTGTTATTTCTAAGGACCTACATTATTGAAAATATTAAAGTTGTAATTAACTTATATTTAATGTGGTCTTTAATGGAAACTGTTCTTTAAAAATTTTATTTCTATTCCAAATAAACTCATTTTAATTTTAGTTTTAAAAGCTAAAATGTTGATAAAGATATGGAATAAGTATGATTATATTCAGTATAGTTATTAAAAAATTATTTATCTTTTAAAAGTATGCTAATATAAGAGATCAGATTTAGCAGTATGTTTTGACATTTTTATTGTATGTTAAATGTGTACTTTTGTCAGTCCTGTTTTCCACCTTTCATCCATCATTTTATTATTATTTTTTCTGCTTTCTAATGGAGATGCTTAAACTTGAGGTAATGTGTTTTTGGAAGACTTTTAATATTAGTAATACTTTTAATATAGCATCTTTATCGTCATATGGCATTTTTGTGTTTTAAGGCAATCTCAGAACTTCAAAGATATGTTCATTTTTGTTTTTTTTAATCATACACATTTTTAGCCATCTTTAAGTGATTATTTTACTAAGTAAGAGTAGTAGACTATTAGGACAATAATTATAATTATAAACTACCAGCAGGATGTTTTGCTTGAAATATCTTTTCTTAATTATTTTGAATGAAAGTTCAATGTTGAATTCAATGACATGGCTTCAAGGAATATGAATTATTTATAGTTCTAATATATGGTTTCCATGGAACAAATATCTGACAACTCCTTGAAGATAGAATCACTCATTCTTTGAGAGAGAATTTTTTAAATGCCTAAGTAGCAGCATTTAGGAGTGGGGATATAACAGTGAGTAAGACAGTGCTGCCTCTCATAAAGCTTATTGTATTCCTTCGTGGAAGCTGAACAATATATAAATAAACAAATTATGGTAGAAAGTCAGTTATTGCTAAGCACGTAAAGACAAAGAAGTGTGGAGCTGACAATAATGTGGGACAATTTTAGATAGAATGATCAGGAAGGTTTCCTCAAGGAGCATATGTGTGAGAAGAATGAAGTAAGCAGGAATCAGGAAACAGGAAGAGTCCGTGCAAGTGCTAAAGCCTTCAAGGCACAGGTGAGCTTGGCCTGTTAAATAGAGAGGAAAGGGCCCTGGTTGAGTGTCTTGGTTGGAGCATTGTCTGTATACCAAAAAGTTTTGGGTTCGATTCCCAGTTGCAGCTACTGATCCAGGTTTCTCTTCCTCTCTCTTCCTCTGTCTCTTAAATCAATAAATATATTCTCACCGGGTGAGAATAAAAAATGAAATAGGGAGGAAAGGTAGTGTGGCTAGAACAGAGAGCCTTTTTTGTTTGAATTTCATCATAGTGATACCACACATTCTGGAAGGGTTTCCAAAGGAGTAGTATAAAAGATCTTTTGGCATTTTTATCACAATAAATTAGTAGCCTAACTTTTCTTCCTAGAAGTTGAAAGTACTTATTTATAATCTATGCTGTAGGTAACTGCTGATGTGTTTAGTAAGAAAAAATTTTAAAGCTTGTCTTATATTATAAAGTTTACATATGAATAAAGAGTAAAAATTATAATTTTAGGAATGTGAAAAATAAGTAAATCCAATAAGCAATATTAGAAACACAAAGTTCTTTTGTTAATGTCATAGAAAACCATACTTAAAAAGCAGTTCTTAGTCTTTCTAAAGAGAAAGCTTTAATGCTTAAAACTTTCATGTATAGGAAGTTTATATTATTTTTTAATGATCCATTGTTTTAAAAATAAAAATGACTTTTCATGAAAAGAAGTTAAAATGTATTAAAGCAAAATCATGTTCAGCTCTTATACCTGATCCAGCTTAATGAAACTATATATAACTTCCATTCGATAACTTCTTTGGACAAATACTTACCATTACAGTAAATAAGATGATCCGCCATATTTTAAGGTGACTCTGTGTTTTATATTTGCATTTAACATGCTTTTAAAATAAAAAGAAAAGGCTATTATAGAAATTGGGAGAAAATGGAGGCATGACTTGCATATGTTCTTCAAATTCAGGAGGGTTAATATACAGTTTCAAAGCCAGTAAATTCAAGTTTGCAGTTTCATGCATGCTTCAAATGCATAAAGTAGGACAGAATTTTTTATTTTATGTAGTAAAATAAATGTACATTTTGGATAAATTTTAAAAATTATTTTTAGGCAAATTAAATGTGCGCTGGCAATAGGGTGGTAGGATAAAGAACCAAGTTGAAACTTCTAAGGATTATTTCAATTTTACAACAACAGTGACAAAAATCTATATAATCTTAAAGCCTTTGGATGCTTCCATTTATTTTTTAATTACCTGTTTGCTCTATTTTTTTTTTTTAGGCCACAATAAGCCAGCTAAGGAGTGAACTTGCCAAAGGGCCCCAGGAAGTTGCTGTGTATGTGCAAGAATTACAAAAACTTAAAAGTTCTGTTAATGAATTAACACAAAAAAATCAGGTGAGAATTTTAAAACTACATATAGTGGGGAATTGATTTTATGTATCTTAAATTTTAATCCTTTGTATTTTATTATATATGGGCACAGTACAATGTGATATATTCTGTGTATTATTTTAGTGTTTTGCAACCAATCTCCAGAACTCATCATCTTTTTATTTTATTTTAAATCTTTATTGTTGAGAGTATTACAGATATCTCCCTTTTATTCTCCCATTGCCCCCCTCCACCCGGTTGCCACCCAACCCCAGGCCTTCACCACCCTACTGTCTGTGTCCATAGGTAAGATCTTCGGTTAATCTCTTCCTGCCTCCCCACCTCCCTTCCCTCTGAGATTTGTCAGTCTGTTCCATGCTTCCATGCCTCTGGTTCGATTTTATTCACCAGTTTATTTTGTTCATTAGATTTTTTGATTTTTAGATTCAATTATTGATAGATATATATTTGTTGCTATTTTACTGTTAATATTTTTGGTATCTTCTTCTTCCTCTTCTTAAAGAATACCCTTCAACATTTCATATTCTACTGGTTTGGTGTTGATGAGCTACTTTAGCTTTTTCTTGTTTGTGAAGCTCTTTATCTGACCATCAATTATAACTGAGAGCTTTGCTGGGTAGAATAATCTTGGTTGTAGGTCCTTGCTATTCATCACTTTGACTATTTCTTGCCACTCCCTTCTGGCCTGCAAAGTTTCTCTTGAGAAATCAGCTGATAGTCATATGGGTGCTCCCTTGTAGGTAACTACCTGCTTTTCTCTTGCTGCTTTTAAGGTTCTCTCTTTGTCTTTAACCCTTGGCATTTTAATTATGATGTGTCTTGGTGTGGGCCTCTTTGGGTTCCTGTTTTTGTGTGACTTTCTGTGCTTCCTGGACTTGTAAGTCTATTTCTTTTACCAGGTAGGGGAAGTTTTCTATTATTATTTCTTCAAGTAGGTTTTCAATATTTTGCTCTCTTTCTTCTCCTTCTGGTATCCTCAAGATGCTAATGTTGGTATGTTTGAAGTTGTCCCAGAGGCTCCTTACACTATCTTCATATTTTTGGATTCTTATTTCTGTTTTCTCTTCTGATTGGGTGTTTTTGCTTCCTCATATTCCAAATTGCTGATTTGAGTCTCAGAATCCTCCACTCTACTGTTGAATCCCTGTAAACTATTCTTTATTTCAGTTAGTGTATGCTTAATTTCTAAGTGGTCCTTTTTTATGTCTTTAACATTCTCACTAAGATCCTTGAAAATCTCATGAAGATCCCCGAGTAACCTTATAACCATGGTTTTGAACTCTGTATCCAGTAGTTTGCTTGCTTCCATTTCTTTCATGTGTGACATGTTTCTTTGTCTATGCATTTTGGCTGCCTCCCTGAGTTTGTTTCTGTGTATTAGGTAGAGCTGCTATGTCTCCTGGAATTGGTAGAGTGGCCTTGTGTAGTAGGTGTCCAGTAGGGCCCAGTGGCTTAGCCTCCCCAGTCACCTGAGCTGGGCACTCTAGGTGCCCTCCTATGTGGGCTGTGTGCACAGTCTTGTAGTTGAGCCTTGACTGCCATTGGCATCACTGGTAGGAATTAAACTCTAGGCCAATTGTCTGTGAGGACCAGCTAAGTCTACAGTGGGAGAGCTGCTATGCAGGAAACACCCCTATGGAGCAGGACTTGCTTCAGTGGGGCTTTAGTGCTCATTGAATCTTCCCCTTGAGTGTGTCACTTGTTGATGTGTAGAGTTGTAATCTGCTGTAGCCTGAAGCTGTCCACCAGGAGCACTGGCTCTAGGGCCTCCAGGGAGGTACAAAGTCAGCCATTGCCTGGGACCACTTGGCAGAGACTACAGAGGGATCTGCAGATGGCTGCTATTTGCCCATGCAAAGCCCAACTATGAAGCAAGGCAGGCTGGTGCTAATGCCAGGTCTTGGGCCTTTTATTGGTAGGTTTGGGGCATGCTGTCACCATCTGCAGCTTGTTTGAGAGATTTTAGCAAAATCTGAAGCCTGAGCCAGGATAGACCATTCATATAGAAAAGCTGCTGTAAATAGCTTGGGTGGGGCTGAAAATTGGATGGGGCAGGGTCTCAGGGAATCCCCAGGGCAGAGCCAAAAGTGTACTTCAGACTAATGGTGACTCAGATATATCTGCCAGTCAGCCCTGTGACAGGGAAGGTCCCAGCATAGGATTAATGACCCATCTGAGTACCCGCATTTGGGATAAAGCCACCCCTGAGTTTCTGCCCTGATGCTAGACAGTCCAGTTCCTCACCATATGTGTCTTGGTCCCCCAAAGCTGCTGGGTGCTGGGAGTCTAAGTAAGTTCCTTTGCCAGCCCTTTAAATGGAACACCTGGGTCTCCAGCAGCCTCCGTGTCAGCCATAATCCCCACTAGTTTTTACAGCCTGTGTTACAGGAACTTCTCTTCCCAGCTCTGGAACCCTGGGCTGAGGGTCTGGTGTGGGGATGGGACTCCTGGCTCTTCAAGGGTAGCCTCCACAGAGATGATCTCCCTCCCAATTAAAAAAATGGCACACGTGGGTCTCAGACCAACCTGTTCTGGGCCTCCACCCCTCCTACTAGTCTCACTGTGATTTCTTCTTTACTTCTCTAGTTGTAGGACTTGCATTCAGCCAGCTTTCAGGTGGTTATGAATGATGGTTGTTCTGTATTTTAGTTATAAATTTGATGTCATTGTGGGTACTGCAAGTGTAGGCCTTTACCTGCGCCATCATTTTGTACTCTCTCCAGAATTCACCATATTGCAAAGCTGCATCACCATTGCATTACTGTTTTAAGCAACTGTTAAGTCTAGTCATATAGTATTTGTCCTTTTGTGCCTGGCTTATTTCACATAAGCATAATGTCCTCAAGGTTTATCTATGTAGTAACGTGTCAGAATTTCCTTGTTTTTCAATTCTGAATAATATTCCATTATATGTATATATCATATCTCTTCATCTGTTGATGGATATTTAGATTGCTATAGTCTTTTGGTATTGTGAATAGTATCAACATGGGTATATAAATATCTCTGTAAGACTCAGTTTTTAATTATTTTGGGTATATAAACAAAAGCAGAATTTCTGGATCATATAATAATTCTGTTTTCAATATTTTGAGGCTATCACCATTAACAGTACATAACAATTCTCATAAGTGCACAAGGATGCTCCACATTTTTGTCAACATTTCTCTCTCTCTCTTCCTCTCTCTCTCTCTCTCTCTCTCTCTCTCTCTCTCTCTCTCTCTCTCTCTTGTTTATAGTCACCATCCTAATGGGTATAAGGTGGTATTTCATCATGGTTGATTTGCATTTCTTTGATGGTTAGGATGTTGAGCATCTTTTCATGTGCTTTTTGGCCATATCATGTTAATTGGGTTGTTTGTTTTGTTGAGTTATGTGAGTTTTTTATATGTTTTGGGTATTAACCTCTTATCAGATATATGATTTGCAAATATTTTCTCATATATATTTTTAAAATACATTTTTATTTATTTTAGAGAGAGGAAAGGAAAGAGATAGAAACATCAGTGATGAGAGAGAATCATTGATCAGCTGCCTTCTGCACACCCCCTATTGGGGAGTGAGCCTGCAACTTGGCACATGCCCTTCCTGGGAATCGAACTGTGACCTTCTGGTCTCTCTAATTTCTTAGGTTGCCTTTTCATTCTGTTGTATCTTTTTGTTAAAGAAAAAACACTTCTCCTGTATATTTTCTCTAATCTTAATACTCTGACATCATATGTGTGGATGTTCCACACATTAGCAGTTCTATGGCACAAGTGGGTATCCTACAATTTACCTTAGTTCTGAAACTCCTTATGTGGAGATATCATCAGATGGTATACATTAAGACCGTGACACTCCCCTTCACACGTCAATTGGAAGTTTATCTTGTTACCTATAATTATGATCAACTGGCCGTAAATGGGGGTTTCCACAGCCCTCTTCTGGGATTCAACGCATTTTCTAGAGTGACTCACAGAAGTCAGGAAAAACATTTTACTTACTAGATTTCTGGTTTATCATAAAGGAGTACAACTCAAGAACAGCCAGATGGAAGAGATCCACAGGGCAAGTTTTGTGGGAAAGGGTACAGAGCTCGCATGTCTCCCTGTTTTTTCTCAGATTCCTGTTCACCAACCAGAATCTCTCCAAACCCTGTCCTTTGGGTTTTTAGGAAGGCTTCATTATCTAGGCATGATTGATTAAATCATTGGCCTTTGATGATTAATTCAGCCTCCAGCCCCTCTCCTTGAGGTGGGAAATGTCCAGACTGAGGGTCACATTAGGCCCTTGAAATCATTTGGTCAGGCCCTGCCATGGCATTAGGGCCATGAAGTAATTAAATGTTTGACCAAATATAGCCAGCTAATTTTTAAGTTGACAGTTTTGTATGGCCTGCAAATGATGTTATAAATACCAAGTGGCTCTTGACAGAAAAAAGGTTGCCCAGCACTGCCTTAGGGGCTTTCTAAATAAATTGCCTCATTAACATAAACTCATAGGTAATTGAAAGGGGTTTATTATGAATAACAAAATACATCTTTCTTGTTTTATTGTTCTTATCTTAACATAGAAGATTCCAAGGGTTTTAGGAGTCTGTTCCAGAAATGGGGATGAAGACCAAATGTGTATTTCTTATTATAAATCACAATATCACACCTTTGATGCAAAAAAAAACCTTTAGATTTGATGTAATTCATCTATTTTTACTTTTTTTTAAATCTGTGCTTTTGGTTTTATATCCAAGAAATCATTGCCAAATCTAGTGTTACCAAGCTTTGTTGTAACTACTACAGCTTTTAATGAGTTTTGAAATCAGGAAGTGTGAGACCTTCAGTTTTGTTCTTTATTTTGTATTTTGTACTTTCCTCCCATTACTTTTTTGGTGGTGGTGGAATAACGGGTTATTAAAACCTTATATTCAAAGTTAAGATGAATTTGTTGACTTTACTATTAGCTTAGACTTAATATTTTTTGTGAAATATAACAAGGGAAAAATCAAGATTGAAAAGAACATGGTA